CGTGCACGTGTGCGTGTGCCTGCCGGGCTGCTGCGCCGCGGGCTGCGAGTGCCTGTGAGGCGGCCGCCGCGCCCCGCGCCGTGCCCTCCGCCCCAGCCCGGCCATGCCCTCGTCGCTGCCCGCGAGGGCTCTCACCAGTGTCCCCAGCATCGCGGCGCCGAAACGCTTCCCGGACCTGCGAGGAGGGGGCCTGGTGGCTCTTCTGCGAAGTAAATAAAGGCGCCGCGCACGCGGGGCGTGTGGCCTGCGGGCTGGGTGTGCCCCTGCCCCAGTGGACGGGCGAGGTCCGCCTGGCCGGGGGAGGAGGTGGTGACTGGCCTCGACGTCTCCGCTCGGACCAGTGGGGCCGCGGGGATGCAGGCGGGAGGCCGACTTTGGCGCAGAGGAAACGGAGTTCCCTAGGTATTAAAGCGGGCCAGGAGCTGGACAGGCCACTTGGAAATGAATGAACGCAAGCCTGGAAGGACGCTCCTCCTAGGGACCACTTCCTCTTCGGGGATTGAGATTAAAAAGCAGTTCTGTTCGGCTGAGGAGAGAGAGACTGTTTTCCCCTAAATACTCATAAAATGACTCCGTGCCTCGTATTCGGCTGAAGGCAGAGTAATAAAACCCTCCCCCAACTGACACATGGCTGTAAGTGGGCATCACTTGGTCTAGCTTTACGGTGTTGGAGAGCTCAATCATGATAATTAATTGTGTGAGCAGACATGTAAAAGGAGCCTAAAGTTCTGTGAGTAAATTAAGGACATCAGCTCAAATGAAGGACTATATTGTATCTTAAGAGAGCTGGCTCACTTACTTGTTCATTCTACAAATATGTCTTGCTTGCCAGGCATCCAGCTAATGAATATGATTACTTTTGAGCATTTACGCTTTGAAAATAAAAACAAATGGTTGAGACTTAATTGAAAGCTTTTTGAAAGTGTGTGGAATATTTTTTGACGCTCTAAAGTGGCTTGCACCTTTGGGTTTTAACCAAATTGTAAACCAATGTTTAAACTGCATTTCAGTTAGGCTGTGCAGAAAAACATTTGCCTTCGATGTTTTATAACTGAAATGCTTTGTAACAGCTTTTACCGCTAAAAGCCCCTCCGGACCTTACAGCTTTAAACAATTTACAGTTCCTAGTAAGCACACATTTGGGTTTATGTGAAAAGCTTTTCAAATAGCGCATAAATTGTTAACATTGTCTCCTTCCTAGTAAAACGGGAATAAAGACGTTGGCGCTCGGTGCTGCTTATTTTCTTTTGGAAACATAGTGTAGCAGTGCTTCAGGGGTGAGCTTGTCATCACCAGAGTCCCATGGGACTACTCACTCACCGTGCCCTGCTTCAGCATCCTTCCTACTCGTGGTGGCACAGGGCCAGTCAAAGTGCGTTCCAGTTTCTCCTCACTGGACAACTTTTTACCTTCCGGATTACCTGTAACAGTTTTCAGTTTGGAAGGTCCCAGTTACTGAAAATGTACACTGATTATAAGATTCATTGTGATTAAACAGACGCAAAGCTTATACACAGGTGCAGGTTCTTTAAAAAAAAAAAAAAATCAACTAAACAAAAACCGAGTTCTTCCCAGATCCCGGCATTTTATGAAGATACAAGACACATATTAATAATGAGTCCAAACTTGAGGCTGGGGAGATGGCTCAGGCTTATGGAGTACAGGTGGGCCATGATCTGTCCCTGGAGCCCAGATAAAGCTGGAAGGAGAGAACCCACTCCACAGAGTAGTCCTCTGGCCTGCACATACAGACATCTTGAGGTACGCATGCAATGTGACGTTTGTGCCACCACACACATCATTTCACACACACAGTAATTAAACAGTCTGTTAAAGATTAATCCAGCTAAGAGCACTGGCTCTCTTGCGGAGGACCTGTGTTTGGTTCCTAGCACCCAAGTGGTGACTCACAACCAGCTGAAACTAGTTCCAGGGGACTGACACCTGCTACACATGATGCACAGACATACGTGCAGGCAAAACATTCGTAAGCATGAAATAAAAATTTAAAAATTAGTCTAAATACATAGTGGTGGGAAAGAGTTGGAGAACACAGTCTCCCTGTGTTCCTCAGGTAGTGGTGCATGGGCAGCATTCTTTACCGGTCTCCGCTAGTGTGGATTTAGCTTGGTGTTACGTCCCTTGCTTCCCTCAGCTGTCCCAAATCTAGCAAAGCTGCAGGACCGGCCTTTGAGGTGCCTCTGCCTCCTGAGTGCTGGGATTAAAGCTGTGTGCCACCACCACCCTGCTGTTTTTGGTTTCTAATCCTGCCTCATCAGCCTGAACCCAATAGCAGCGGGGTTCTGAGTGCCCAGTTGAATATTTCTTTCTCCCTTGTCTGATCTCTGCTAACAAATCGTGTGGCCATATCCAAGGTCCCCACATCAGGAACAGCTGACCACATCCCAGTGTCTGATTCCAGCGCCCAAAATATGTCCTATTCTGCACTTCTCAGACTTCATCTGTCTTCAAATCATGCCATTCTCCATAACATTCCACTTTTGGGTCCTTATTTCTTGCCCAGTTTCATAGCCCATCTTTATTATCACATTCTTATAATCACATTCTTTTAATCTCTTATTTTGCAATACTTGTCTGCACTTAATCCACCTCTTAAAATAAGAACCACATGGGCTGGGGAGATGCTCAGCACAAGAACCTGAGTTCTGCACTCCGGAATCCATGTAAAAAGCTGGGATCAGCATTTGTCTCAGATTAGCTTGTCTGTTTGTAGACATGTCCCCCAAGGTCCATGTATTCAAGGTCGGTCACTGGGGCTGTGTCCTTGAAGGGGTGAATCAGGAGATGACGAGCTGCTCTGCCACAGGCTGTGCCATGAGGTGCTTACAGCACTGTCTGAGTCAGTGTTCTATTGTGTGAAGGGACCACAGCCACAGCAGCTCTTAGAAAGGAAAACATTTAATCGGGGCCGGCTTATGGTTTCAGAGGTTTAGTCCATTATTGTCACGGCAGGGAGCTTGATGCTGGGGAGGAGCCAGGAGTTCTACATCCAGATCCACAGTGCAGGAAGAGAGGAACTATGGGCTTGCAACGGCTTTTTTGAATCCTCAAAACCCACTCCAAGTGACACACTCCTCCAGCAAAGGCCACACCTCCTAACCTTTCAAATAACACCTCTGTCTGGTGATCAAGTATTTGAACGAACATATGTGGGCTGTTCATATTCCTACCACCACGGTACCTGCACAGGCTCAAAGCAATAGGACCAAGTAACCAGAAACAAAACCAGAAACTCCGAACTACGACACCCTCCATAGGCTGGCTACTGCAGGCCTTCATCATGGTAGTGAAAAGCGAATTACATGTTACTTTTTTCATCACTGGTCAAATACCTGAAAAGCGCAGCTTTGGGGGAGACATTGCTCTTGACTCAGTTTGAGAGAACACAATCCACTGCAGTGAAGGCGTGGCGGCAGGATCTTCAGTGAGCCAGGAGGTGGAGCCGCCTCCCCCAGTGCTGTCACCAGCGAGGGTCCGATGTTCAAGCCCACTCACCAGTGGAGAGCGTGTCACATTCCGTCAGTAACACGACCGCAGATATTCTATTAAACTTCCTGCCTTGACCCATTAATTTTATCTGTTCTCACCAAATCTCTCTTGTTCTTCCATAGGCACGTGTGCGAGCCATCGTCACCATCGGGTGAACAGTGGCTACCTTGCAGGGGCACTCGTGACTCTTCTGTGATGCATCTTAGGAGCCTTCTGGGCCCCAGGGATTAACACTGGCTTGTGTTGTCTGGGGTTCTGAAAGCCTAATTTCCAGCTTCTCAGTATACTCCAGCTGGGGACCTTTCCCCAGTAGCTCACCGACTTTGACAAGGGCACAAGGTGATATAATAATAATACACAACATAGAATATTGTCAAAGTCAAATATCTTAATGAGAGTTTCCACATAAAAGGCTGACTGCTCTTCTATGCCGTTGATCGGACTGAGCTTTCTTGGCCTTTCTGTCTCAGTGTACCTATACCCCATATATATTATATATATGTAATATATATAATAAACATTATATATATACAGTAATAATTTATTTATATCAGATATAAAATATAGAAATTATACATACTATATAAACATTTTGGAGAACTTCAAACATCTCTATCACCCTCTCTTGTCCTGCTCTCCCATTCATGATCTATTATTATAGGTACATACTTATATATTTGTACGTGTAACCATAAACTGCTGAGTCCGTTTAGCTTTGTTTCTGTGCAGCCAGGGCTGACAGCTGGGACTGGACAACCTAGGCAGGCTCTCACCCCTGGAGGGGACAGGTTCTCCCTCTCGGCAGGCACTGGCCACCTGTAGCTCTTCTAGAGGTGGGACCCTGTGGAATTGTCCCTGTTTGCACTGGCATGTCAGCTGGTGATGTCATTACGCTGATCTTGTTCAGGCGGCCATACCGTTGAGAGCTCGTGTGTGCAGCTTCCTCGTCACACGTGGAAGACACTCTCATGGCAGTCTTCTGCTCTTACAATCTTTCTGCCCCCTCTTCCGTGATTTTCCCTCAACACTGGTTGTAGGGATTGCACTGGGGATGTATTGGTTGGGCTTAGGCACCCTACAATACTTTTAAAGTATTTCCGGGTGAGGTGGCATTTGCTTAGAGTCTTTAGGTACTCAAGATGCTGAGGCAGGAGGATGATTTGAGCCCACAAGTTCAAGACCAACCATCCTGGACAAGAGTTTGTCTCAAGATAAACAAATTGGAGTGGCCAATTCTTTGGACAGTCCAGATCCTCACAGATATATTTAAAGGAAAACACATGCCATCCTGCCCCAACATCATGCCCGGCTAGTTCCGAGATGCCGCTGCACTGTGCCCACACTAGTGGGAACCACTAAAAATAGCAAGGTTACTGCTAGGTGTTTTCTCCATTCTGTTTTGTTATGCTGCCTTCAAAATAGAACCGTCTTAATAATGACACAAAATTCCAACAACTCCAAACAAAACCTTCCAAACTCCAAGTAGCTTGAATAAAGATCACACCTCTATCTTAATAATTTCTACGCCATGAAATATAGGAAGCTCACTACTGGCACTTTATATATAGTAATGAAGGTAAATTTCATTATTGTGTATACATCCTTTGCTGTGGGCGTGCAGATGCTATGTTCTACAAAACTGCTTTCTCACTTCGGATCAGCGTTACTAGAAAGGTAAGGAAG